AGTTTTCTAATCTGTCAAATCTTCATGAGCCTTTCCGGATATTTTCGCTGGCAGCTGGATACGAGGCAACCAACTTTCAACCACAATTGGAGCCCGAGACAGGTGGACGCAACGTAGCGGTGCTAGGTAAGGTACACCACTCATCGTGCAGCAGGATGGCCTGATGGGTCCAACTTTAATATGCGACTTGCTCGTCTTCTTATGTCGATTCCACTGGGGAGCAAGAATGAACGGCCTCAGGCCGCTCCCCCTCACGCCCAAACCCCGACGACCTGCCCGTCGTGACCGCCTATTATCGCGACACCTCCGCAACGGTTGAGAAAGCCGTTGATTCAGGTCGTTCTGGAGGGGCAGAGGTGAAATGGTGGACAACCGCCTGTTCCTTGTCGAGCTGCAAAGATCCACAGCGGCGTGGACCCGGAGTGGCTTGGTTTCAGAGGGGCCTCCCACTGGGCCACCAGTCCGTCGAGACCGGACAATGACGCACTGCCAGCTGACACGCCAAGCAAGTTGAAATGTCGCCAAGTCCCGCACAGGGCATCCGTCCAGCGGCTCCGCGGTGTTCGGGTCACAAATTGATTATCGGCACAGGGCTCCTTCGGAGGCCCAAAAGCGCTCCGTCCCGAGCTCCACAGAAGACGTTGCGATCCAGCATCACCGGTCGCCGCCGGCTTCAAGAGCACCCAGATCCTCTTGTCGACCCATGAAGACACGACACGGTATCAGCTCTTGTTTCCGAGCAACCTGATGGCACGGCAGAATGGACCATCTCTCAGCGGCCGAACCTCCCCCCTCCTCCATTAATTCACCGTGTGAATTGACTGCAGATGGCTGGTTATCGCCATTTTAAAAACAAGGCACGACGCAGGAGGTGCCCTCGGGTGGCTCCCCACACCGGCTAACCGGACGTCGGAGCCAATCAACAACCAGCTTCCATCCCGATGCACACTTTGACTTGGCCTCTAGCCTGGCGTAAACAGCCGCAAGTTGGAGGAGAGGACGGCCAGTTGTTGGTAGCTTCCTGCTTGGAAGTGGGGGTCGCATTCCAGTGGAATTCTTCCTTGGAACGCAACGGCCAGGAGACGTCGGTTCCGGGTCTGCCCTGTGTCAATGGGTAGCAATCTCTAAGATTGCGAGAATCCCATCTGCGCGCCTGCCAACATCCATGTCCTGTCCAAGCGCCGAACGGCCCGGTCGAAAGCCTCCGGGACGATCGTTGACAAGTGCCATTCTTCAGCTCCCCACCATCAGAGCCCCTGCGACCGCATCAGGCAGGTCCAATATCCTCTTCTTGCTCTCTGGCCGACCTTCAGCCGTGCCTATGTCCCGCCAAGCACGCAGGCTGGATGCGGCCAGCACGCTTTCTTGGGCGGATGTTCGTTGGGGTATCAGGCTCTCAAGCTCCTCGAACGCCCCAAGCCCTTCACCTTACAACAGCAGGCGGCCTACCATAGAGGTCGATATTGGCTTCATTAATAACTGTTTCCAAAGAATCGTCGAGCCCTATAGCGACCTTCTGGTGCTGATCTCGATTGTTACGGTTTGGTTTATCACGGCACTGTCAACTTGCGTGGGCATTCGGAAGCGCCATTGGTCCAGAAATCGCGGGGGAACGACCAAGGCATAAAAGAAGCGGAGGCAAGGCCATATCGAGTCTGCATTGGTGAGAGCCCCACGACATGTGGGCGAATTCGGATGGCTCTCCGCGTCGCCATTCCAAATAAGGAACCATACTAACGCTCGATCCCGCATGGATCTTCCCGCAGACGTCGCCGCATGACAACAAGTTGCCATCCAGGATGGTCGATGGCTTGCATGGAGACAACACACCCCATACAAACCACCCGTAAATAAGGCCTCCGCGATCCAGAATCTACCCGGCAAACGTGGGATCTCCCGAATCTTTGAGCAGGCACACAAGCATGTCGGTTGATCCGCGCCCAGTCGACCGAGCTGCTGGTCTCGCGTGGCCTTCGGTTCGAGGCCAGAACGGGCTCGAGAATGCTCACCAACGGCCAATCTATCTCGTACATGTCTCCCGCATCGCATGCCGCCCGTCTCACGGAGTGGCGGGAGGCTGCGGCCTTGAGACACCGGGACGCTGCAGTACGACTCGAGTCCTGAGCCAGACGAGGACTCGACCACGCGAGCGTTGCTTGTGGCTCGTATACCTGCTGATGTGCTTTGTGCGTGTAGAGCCATCTCGAATTTCGTCATTATCGACCTCCTGTTCGAGCTGTTCCGCAAGAGACCGGTATACACGGCAGGCGCTTTTATTGCATCTCAACCGGCTGAATTGACCAACAAACGCTCGGCGGCATTGACCTGCTCGGTCTGTGGCCACGTCCAATGACGACGTCGGGACGAGTTTGTCCACTATACCTGACCAAGGCGTTGTCGTTGCGATGGTTGGCTGAGCTTGGCCCACGACGCAACCGCCATTGGCCTCGACCTTGCATCTTACTGCCGGCCAGCTTCTCATTCCTTTACTGCCAGGTGTTAGTATTGGCAATATTATTATTCCGATAATACCGGGCCTATCCGACCTTGACTGGTCATCGACAAGACCAATGTCCAGGAGCTTCGGCTCCGGTGGAAACGGTCCCGCTTCTTGGCAGGACATGAAATCAAGCTTTGAGGCCTCAGAGTGGAAATGCGCTGTTCCACTCGCAGCAGGCAAGGAGACGTCAGAGCCTGTCGAGGTTGGAGAATACCGTCCTGTTATTTTGGACATCCGGTTGGCCATTCATCGTTCAGAGGTTGGCCAATACCCGCATGGGGGCGACCTAATGCAGTCGACCATGGACCATACTAACGTTATTCTCATTCTCTCCGAACTTGGCGTACACATCTCCTGTCCTGGGCAGTTGGGAACCTCGCGGGTGTGGCGTCGATCGAAGGTGGTAACCGCCTCTGACCCCTTTGTTGGCTGCAGGTCGGCAGCGCTGAAGAAAGCAATGGTAGGGCAACTGTTTCAGCCCCACGCCCGGCCTTGGGCGGTGTGAGCTGCTCAACTCGCGGCGCGTCTGAGACACTCACCAGCGTGGTGCTCGGTCGGCAATCTTGCGGGCATCTATTCTAATATCACCTCGGACACTCACGCATGCGGCGACATGGCGCAGCCTCTTTTCCCTCTGCCCCGATGGCCCTTTCCCCTTTTCGACCTGGAAGGTCCTTTTTTATCATTCTCTTCTAGTTTCCGTGCTGGTCATCGGGAAGGGTCGTGATTCGTCAAAGAGAGAGAAACATGGTTTCGGGGAAGGCGAAATGACGAGGCTAGGCTAGTAGTTCTAGCTAGCTCGTGATGCAAACCGGCAATAAGTTGTTGACCAGCCACGGCGTGCTGGGCGTTTTTCGTGGCTCTGCCCAGTTCGTTGACGTTTTCGTGAGGCGTTGAAGAGCCGCGACGGTGGTGATAAAGGTTGGCCAATATGGGAAGCTAAATGGGGTTGAAGATTTGTTTGTTGGTGTCAGGGACTGCGCGTGTGCCCATTGTTTGACGGGAGGCTTGGTGTCGGTTGTGGCTGGCGCTGTGAGCCGTGGAACCTTCTGGCTGAGACTCAAGTGTGTTGCTCTGGCCCGTGAGGAGTTCTTGTACCTGAGGCTGAGGTTTGGATGAGCTCAAAACTTATTTGGTTGGAACAGCCGAATGGGCCAGGAGCGATTGAAGTGTACCTCTTGGAGAGGACTACTCCGTACATGCGTTGTTTCATATTCGGCAAGGACAGCGACAGTCTGGGATACCACGGAGACCGTCGGTCACCTCTCGATTGAGGTTGCTGCCGGTTATTACACCCGTCGCCATCCTTTACCGCCAGCGCACACAGCATTGCGGAAGAAGAGAGACATGAACTCTATGATCACCATGGCTCAGCATTGGCTAGAATTGATGAGCCAAATGAGCAGTTTTTCCGTACAGCGGGTTGGATACGGAGGTAAAACGCCTTTACATGAAGCTGATGATACCCTCAAGCCTCGGGAGTGGCAAGGGGGCAAGAATTTTGGTTTCTCCTTCTCAGTTCTCAGCAGGCTGATGTTTCCCCCCTTACCTCATGCATGTCGGTTGTCTTGAGGACTGCCCTTTCCCTAAGTTACCCCCCTACTTCATTCTCGATGCTTTCATTTTAGTGTGTTCTTTGGGCGAGTACTTCTCCTGTCAACCTCCCTTGCAGAGTGTTGCTGATGTCCCATCTTTGCCTCGCCATGACGGCTGAGGCACAGGCCATGGAATTTCTTGAGCTGCCATCCTGGCTGTGCCGTTAGAGGCTTGGAAGCAACTTGTTGTGCTGGGATTCTGGCGACGTACTGGAAGCGGTCATTTGGGGCAGGGAGCGCGTTTCAGGCGAAGCAGAGGCAGACACACGGATATCGATGGTTGCGCTGTGAGAGCTTTAGAAGCTGGAAAGAGGTTGGAATCATGCTCTCTGGGATACTTACAGAACAAGTCATAGAGGCGCACAGTTGGCGGCGGCTCTCAAGGGTAGAGGTAAAGATAGGAAAGAATTTAACTATTGGAGCACGGTGTATGTGGCAGAATACCCGTTATCTATCCGAGCCTTCTGTCTCGAGTTACCCAAAATCAACGGAATGTCAGTTTATCAGACCTTTCCGGCGATACTATGCTCCACCGTCCTGACGGGGCGGGTGCCGATAACAAGCAGCCAGCCCCCGGCTTTCACAACAACCTAACTCCCCTTCCACATTCCACCTCCTTCTCCGTTGCCCAGTGCAACAATTACAAGCATCCAGACAGAGTAACAGAAGTCCGCGCTTATCATTACCTGCTTTCGGAACCTAGAAAGAACCCTATACGATCTTCAGCCCACACTCCCTATTCTATTACTCACGCATAACCCCTCGTCAACAAGCCTGCCATTCCCCCCCCCCCCCCCAACACAAGCACATTAACAATGCAGCCGAGCACTGCAATTGGGCTCACAGCCTCTGTCTGTATACTATAAATGTCGAATAATGACAAAGGGCAAAAAAACAAAATCTAATGCCTATTACTGGAATCGAACCAGTGATCTTTGCATGTGCCCAATTAGAGGATACAAGTGCAACGCATTACCACTGTGCTAAACAGGCCTGTTCGATAACTGTAAATATGAAGTTTAGTCCTATCACCAGGGCTGCAATGGCAACAAGGAGGTTGGCATTCAGGGGGTGAGGTTGATCAGAAAGTCGGGGGAAAAAAGTTGCTACAACGTATCTGATTGAAACTACGCAGCTCACTCCCTGAAACCATGAAGTTTCTGTGAAGTTTCATGCTGAAGTGTCAAACGTATTCCGTGATATCACGATTGCAATGACCAAAGCTACTTTGTATCTGCAGACATGTTTCGGGGCGGTAGAGGTATTTAGTCACCGAGTCGGACGCCAAGGCCCCCGAGGTGGCACTGCGATGAAATATCTACCGCTTTTTCTGTTGATTGTACAATGTCGCGCAAAATACTGCCTTGACCAACACAGAAGTGCCGGGCGTGATCGTCGGATTGAGCTACTGAAGACTAGTGGATGACGCTGACATATTGCCAGCAATCCCATGACAGGCTGCGAGGGAGAATTGAAATCAAACTTTTTGGAAAATACAGATTGTGTACTATCATGAAGGGTATTTGGAAGTCGCGCCTAGATCTATAGACATGTCATCGTAATTCGTTCCTGATCTTGTGGTCAATGCAGTCCTGTTGGCTCTTCTAACCTAGCCCATTTCTCGCCCCAAACACTCAGCTCCACGCATGCGAAATTGATCGTAGCGGATATAGAGAGTGCCCAGTGTATTAGATAGGAATTATCTCTTTCCCATCCTACACAAGCCACGGCTTAGAATGCCACCCACAGCTTCGTCCATCCCACAACTGACGCCTTTGCTAGGAGGAACGCCACCACCGACCCGACGTAGAACGTTCCCGTGAGCACGATGAGGCCCCAGTATTCACCCTTATTCGATTCGATCACCTTGCCTGCGATAGGTATGCCAATCAGCACAGCAATTGACACGACTGTGTAACACGTCGCATAATATCTCCCGTAGTGCTGCGTCCTGCATAGTCTTCCGATCGCAACAGGAACCATGCTGATATTGCAGCCGCTCGTGAAGCCAAACACTAGCGCGAATAAGATGATGCCCGCTTTGGTGTGCCCCAACGGTAGCCAAACACCAAAGCAAGCTATGACAGTCGTAAATGCCGAAATCATGTTGGTGTTGAACGGTCCGATCCTATCGGCCCAATAACCTGGAAGAACACGGCCGAACACGGAGCCCGTGTTTAAGATGGTGATGATGTCGAAGCTGAAGGAATGGCTGAACCCCTTGTTGAGAACGTAGCTCGACAAGTACGTCAGCGGGATGAACAGCGCAAATTCAAGCATGAAGACGGCGACAGTTGTTAGAGCGAACGCCTTGTTCTTAAAGATGCGCACGTCAGGGTGGACGCTTGCATTAGACGCGGGCGGCAGACGGGAACGAACCAGGAAGTTGGCGACGATGGTGACTGCAAAGCAGACAAACGCAAGGACCCGTATTCCCCAGGCCCATCCGACTGAAGTGAACAGACGCTGTAGCATCAGGGGGAAGATGATGCCACCAACCGAGCCAGCCGTGCTTGCGATGCCTGTTGCGAAGCCGCGGCGTGCCCGGAAGAAGTGGCCGATGGCAGCGATGGAAGGGGTGAAGAGGAGTGAACTGGCAAGGCCGCTGAGGATGCCAAAGGCGAGCAGGAAGTGCCAATACTCGTAGCTGATGCTAAGCAGCATCAGACTCACGGCCAGACATGCAGTCCCGGACATGACCAGATATCGCGGGCCATATTTGTCGAAGAGGGGGCCGACATAGATTCCGAGGAAAAAGCTGATGAAGGTGTACTGTGGCAAATATCAGCTCATTATCTCCTTTTTGGGATATTTTCTGTTCTCTCGGGAGTCGAAAGAGAGTTTTCGCTCCTGAGACACCAGGAAAGGACAAAATGGGAGGGAAACCGCTCTGATTTGCACTTACGAGGGAGAAGATCCAGCCGATAGTGCCGGGGTCGTAGCTGGCCAGCTGGTTGCTCGAGACATACGTTTGGAAGGTGGCGAGGATGTTCATCAGACCGAGTGCGGCAAACAAGGCCAACCAGCAGCCAAACACGACCAGCCAGGCCCGAATCCCCCCCTCAGGGTACTCATTGTCGTCGACCTCGGACAGCGGCGCCGCATCGGATGCACTATCAAAGTCTGACGAGGCACCATCTGATGTTGCCGATACCGGTTCGGTCGACTCTTTTGGCGACTTCTCATCGCTTAACTTGTGATCGGGATCGGAGGCTGGGATAATGAAAATCGGGCCTGTGATGGCTGCGGCGCCCAGATCGGCGTTGGGACCGGAGGTGGCGGTCGGTCGTGGTGCCGTCTTGGCGCCGTCCTGTCGCCCGCCAGCAGAGTTCGCATCCGAGCCCAGAGCCCATTTCTCGTCCATGATGGGGTCAGAGACGTTGCGGTGCTGGTTTGCCTCTGAATCCATCTCTTCACGACTTCGCGCGGCTCAAGCCGTATTATGTACGAGGGAAAGGCGTCATTTGAAGGACGCAGGTGATGTCAATGGCGAGGAGCACCTGGGGGGGACGGAAAGAAGTAGCAGGAGAGGCCGCAACTCGGCCAGCATGATGGAGGGGGGGTCGGTGTGTAGTTCAAGTTAGTGGGAAGAATGGAGACAGGAATGCACCTACTCGGTAGCCACGACCACGTTCCTTCTGTCCAAAGACGCTCTCCTAGGGCCGGGGGCACTTTACCGACATTAGGTCGGCCATCCATACCTTAGCAATACGCATCTTCCATCACGTTTTGCATTGCCCCGAGGAACGAAACCGTAATAAGGGGACGGAGGACACGCCGGGATGCAGCACGTGTTGGCTGGTTGCTGGTGTCTTCATCCGAAAGCAACGACCCGTTCCTTCGGCTCTTCTAGGCCCTCTGGCCCTGTGCGGGTCTAGACTGCCTTGCCCTCGATCTCCCCGCCTTTTTGCGGCCATCCCGCCCATCCAAGCACTTTCGATGGCCTTCCCCAGTCGAGCAGTACCTACAGGTTAATAAGGGAAGATATCCGGCCGGCCTCTCGCGAAAAATAAGGCGCACCACTGCGCTGGATGGCCTCGTTATTGGTGGCCCCTGCTAACAAGCAGAGAGAAGCTCTCAAAAGGACGGCTAAAATCCTAGGCGCACGCCATGGCAACCACCCCATTGGTGCAACTACACGGCAGCATGAACCTCCACACCACCTTACCTCTCCAGGCCGTCGCGTTTGTTGGGGCATCTCAGGGCAACTTGATCATTCCTCGGAGGCGAGGGCGAAATTCCGGGATATTGTAGCGAAACCCTACCAAGGTGTCAAGACCATCCATCAATTTGGCGCTCTACGAGGTTACAGCTTAGCGAGAAAGTCGACCAGTGCGGTGGAATATGTCAAGAGCTGCACCTGGGCGGCTCGTCGTTCACTGGAGATGCGGGGAATGCAACTGCTCGAGACATTCCATCGCATCATTGTCTGCACCACATTCTGACAACCAGGGTCCTGGTAAAGCTGATTCGCCAATTGTTGCTCGTCCAGCAAGCCCCGTTTAGCCCAATTGAACTCAGGTCGCCAGTTGCAGAGGCTCAGACTTCCCACGACGTTACGCAAAGCACATTTTGAAATCCGTCCGGAACGAGTCGAGACAGACGATAAGACAGGTGGCGGCTGGGGCACAGTATTGCTTGTCTCTGTCCCTATGCACATAATGCTGGAGCCAAGACGTTGCTTCCAAGGGGTCCTGGCCTTCCTCAACCCACCCCGCCCGACAGCGACGTCGCTATCAAGTGGACAGGTGAGACCTTTCCCGCTCCTCTTTCCCGGGTCCTTGGCATCACCGCCGCGTACGTATATCTCGCTGTATTATGATAGCGAGAGTCGAGTAGAGCTGTCTTTGCGGTTTGTCGCGAAGTTCCATCGCAGATTCGCCGCGACCCGCCCCAGCAACTGCCGGCCGGCAGGCACAGTTGGCCGCTCCTTATATTTCACCAAGAGCTGGCTTGGCCAGCGCGGCTTCGGTGGAAAGAGACGGAGGCATTATCCATGATGGCATGGATGGTATCCATCTCCCCAAACGCGGTGACGCAAGCTGAGCTGAATCTCAGCACAACAGGGATGCCCGTGTAATCCAAAATGTCGCCTTCAAGCCGAAGTCAATTAGGTCGTTCTGGGGATTATGAGGGTCTTCCATGCAGGCCAACCGCGGAGCCGCTAAAAAGGGTCCAGCTCAAATGACCTGAGAATCATTAGATGAATAGATGACACTAACCACATTTTCTTCCCATTCCCCCGCTTGCTGGAGCATCTCCTGGGCGGAGCATTGCGCCCGAGACCACATAGGTCGCCCGTTTGCGGTGCTCTGTGGTTGAAACGTTGAAGGGGGTCGACTTTCCCATGCGGAGAGATGAGCCTTGTTAACGATGTTTCAGCTGACGGGCATCTACCGGGAGGTGGATCGAGTTTAATTCCAAGTACCTTGCCCAAAGTCTGCTCTATGAGAGCAAAGTGCGTCAACTCCACTGCACTGGAATGGAGATGCCAGAGACGCCAATCGCGAAGCTTGGTGTAAAGCAGGGGATATCGCTGCCACAGCAAAACATCCCAGAATCTTTTCGTATGGTCTCATCAGTCTTCGTCATCGGCATCCTCCACCATGGCCCTCCTCGAAGGAGCAGGATATTTATGATCCACATCCATCTCTCCGATGCCAGATGCCGCAGCCCCCACAGGGCTCTGGTTTCTAAAGTACCCCTCCTTCTCCAGCTGGTCAGCCTCCTCAGGCTCCAGCAGGGCCCCTTGACCCTTCACCTTGTCGATCTTCATCCTGACCACTGTCGGCATGAATGCGCTGACAGCCTCCTTCTTGAGATCTCTGACAACCGGCTTCGCCTCGTACACGGTCTTGGCTTCCACTGGCGCTGCCGGTTCCGACCTCTGCCACTGCCCTCTCCCAGCCTCCCTCTCTTTGCCTTCAGCGAGCGGCTCCTGGTTCGCATTCGTCGCTTGCGCAGCGCGCCTTTCCCTACGCTTCGCATACCAT